GGCGGGATTGGTGGTCCCAACTTGCAGGGATTTGGGTTTGAGGGGTGCTGAAACACCCAAATACCTCCCAGCAGTGACCGAATTGTCCCAGAGGGATAAATGTGGGGTGTACTGAACCCCAAACCACAGTCCTGGGTCCCTGCTGCTAGAGAAGCCGTGGCGGGATTGGTGGTCCCCACTCACAGGGATTTGGGTTTGAGGGTGCTGAGAGGGGTTAAACACCCAAATTCCCCCCAGCAGTGACGTGACTGTCCCAGAGGGGTAAATGTGGGGTGTACTGAACCCCAAAACACAGTGCTGGACCCTAGGGGACACAGCTGGGGTGTGGAAGGGAATAGCAGAGTCCCCCTTGGCAGCACTGCCGGTGGTTTCAGTCCTGTTTAAGCTGTGGGGAAGGTCTGGCAGCCCCAAGGACCCCCTGGCAGAGCAGAGCGGGGKTCTCGGGGCAGGGACTGAGCGTGTTCCCCCGCAGAGATCGTGGACCAGCCGGGCGTGGACATCTTCGGGCAGGTGTACAACCAATGGAAGAACAAGGAGTGCGTGTGCCCCAACTGCAGCCGCAGCATCGCCGCCTCCCGCTTCGCCCCTCACCTGGAGAAGTGCCTGGGCATGGGCCGCAACAGCAGCCGCATCGCCAACCGCAGGTGGGACCCCTGCCTGGGGCTGGGGCTGCTCCTGTGGGGAAACTGAGGCATGAGGCGATGTCTCTTCCCTGTGGGGTGCTGTGGATTCGGGCCTGGGATGGGAGCTCAGCRTCCAGGTCTCCCCAAATATTCATTTTTTCATCGTGGGGTGTCCAGCTTGTTTCTCCCCCTGGAGCTTACCCTTTATATTTTATTCCTCGCAGGAAAATAAGCCAGGGAGTCTGGGTCCTCTGTCCCCCCTGCCTTTGGTGGCTGCTGGGGACTCCTTGGGGTGCTGGGGAGGATTGGGAAGTGCAGGATGGATCCTGGGGTGCAGGAGAGGGTGTGGGATGGATCCTTGGGGTAATGAAGAGATCGGGAGGTGCAGGATGGATCCCAGTGTGCCAAGGAGGA